GTAGCTTAGTAGTTTGTATTCGCTATGTTACCGCTTAGATTCAAATTACATGAACATTGTACATTTTGTATAAAAATCATTTCGCAAAAAATAAACAAAAATATTTATTGATGTAAATCTAAGAAGATGAATGGAGAAACTAAAGTACATGCGGATTGGGCAGTAATAACGAGAGAGAAAATGACGAGAATGGCAACAAGTTGAAATCTTGATGACGCCATTTTTTTCTCTTCGGTTTATGTTCTTTTGTAATGCAAGATATTCAACTTGAAAATTTGTGTTTGGACAATTCGGATCGATTTTTGGGGTTTTATACGTAAAAATTAGTTTTAAAGATAGTAATTGTTTTTCTTTGTAAGTGTACACCAGTTTTTAGTCAAGGTAATTTATTGTTAATATAGCAATGAAAGAAAATAAGCCTCCTCAAAATAGAATTTGCTATCGTGTTTTACATCTAAATTTAGTAATGATAAAAAATAATGGATGGTAGAGGACTAACGTTGATTATTTGAATCAATAACCACTACGCGTATGCGTACACAATCAATCTCCACGGCACGTAAGCATCGAGTGTTTGGTGGAACCCTTAAACAAATTTTTCTATAAGAACAAATTCTAATTTCACCAAGTGTTTGGTGGCCTAGTGGTCTTGAAATTTGAAAAAAAAAATTTAAGATCACTAGTTTAACTCCACTTAGAACGAGTGATTTACGCCTTAAACGTGATATTATCAACGGTTGGCCCGGACACCGAGGAGATTATGGATATCAAAAATTCGGAACTCCAACAGTTTATAAAAAAAATAAATTATAATATCAAAAATATATACCGATTAAAGAATCTCGTGAAACAAGTGAATACCGGACTAGAACCACTTAAGACTCTTTTTTTATGTGTCAACTCTTACACTTATTGAACGAATGTGCTCCACATCAAATATTATAAACTAGGTGATCGGCCCGCACCGTGTGCGGGTATGAAATTATTTAAGAAAATAGGTTAATTTTAGCATTTACAAATGTGATTTTATCATCTATAAAAAAAAAATATAGTTATTAGTTATATGCATGTAATGAATTAATATGTATAAAAAAATAGATATTACGAGAAATAGAGGAGATAACTATATTTCAAAGGAAAAAATATGAAATCAAATAAAATTATCATTTTTCTAAGGTGATTTCTACTGTGTCAATAATAA